TTCCAAGCAGGCAGATCCCTGGGATGCGGTACCGAAATCTGACCGGACAAAGAGAGCCAAATCTCCTCGTTCCATCCACTCCAGGGGCTCCGGCGCAATGAGCGCCCCCAAGGATTTCATTCCCACCACCTGCCGTTGCTCCTGGCAAGGGAGAGAAATGGAGAGACGATCAGCAGCATGCTGAAGAAACCCGGTCTGTTGGAACATGTTGAACAAGAATTTGGATGTGGAGATTCCATATTCATTCATCCGTCCTCCCTGAGAGGATAGAAGATGCATCAAAAGACTATATGGCAACTATATGGTCTTAAGATTTAGGTGATCCGAACAGGAATTGCCTTAACTTCACTGGGGGAAATACATGGTCGAAATCGACTTCGAGAGTTCCACCCACGCGATGCCTCGCTCCCTCGGATTCCGACAGCATCGGGACATGGATTTTCTGCATGTGTTTATACCACGGGAAAGGACGAATCCGATTCAAGAAAACCCGAATCTTTCTGCCCAACCACCGAGTATAAACATGATCATTCACGCTTGCCACCGGAGGCCATTGCTAGTAGTAACAAACGGCATCGCTACGAACGGAGCAAGAAGCTACGAACGTAGCTCCTGGCCTTATTATTAGTCACCAGAAGCTACTAGGATGGAGGCCATGCCCAATAGGAGGGTCTTGTCCTCCAGGTGTCGACTGGGCTCATCGACGAGCAAGCGCTTCAAGTCCTCCACCGGCGGAAAGCGTGGGTGGGACAGGGCGGGACAGCGGCCAAACCGACGATGCGATGTGATGAGGTGTGTGGTCCGTTTTGCCAAACCAAAATGGAAAACATGGTTTCAGTATGTTTCAGTTTGTATGATGTGATGTGTTTGTATGATGTGATGTTTTTGTATGTGTTTGTTCAGAGTTCTTGGTTGCCAAAGGAAGATCATATGGATCATGAATCATGAAGCTGGAGCAATCCGCAGCTTGACTGACTTTGAAGGTTCTCAAGGACGGACCGTTTCGCTACATCCGTTCCATGTTCAGCTAAGCTCAAAGCCCCCCAGAACCGAGCACTAGGTCGTCCACTAGGTGGCCAGTGAACATCCATCTCTAAGCTCATTTGGTGCGGCCATGGACAGCTCATTCCCATTTGGTCAGCCTTCCAACATTTGGTCAGCACACCCATGCAAAACACCTGCTCCAGCCCCGCTCCGACCGTTCCAATCATTCCCACCCTGCCCAAGGGCACAGGGAACCTGCAGACTTTCCACTCTGCGGCCAAAACCGGCTCCAAATCTCCCACCTGCTCCAGATCCACCTCTTTGGCATCTTGCGCTTTCACCTCCTGTAGCTCCACGCCACACGACTCCGCCACAGCACCTCGTGGTCGGCGCAAATGGCTGAAGGCACCGGCCCCGAAGGGAAGGCCACCTTGTTGAGGGGAGGCAATGGCCTCCAACCTAATAGCGATGCCACTTTTGAGGATCTTTTTGCGGGATATCGCTGTGGGTGATGCACCCCAAGGCAATGCGGTCCCTTCGCTCACCCTTCGCTTGCTGAATGCGGTCCCTTCAGGCCGCCCCGCGCAGCTTTCGCGGAAGTTCGCCGGCCAAAGCTAGCCTCGTTGCAAAGAATTGGTGGAACGAATGGAGAGCCGTTCACTGGGTTCATCAAGTGTTGGTGTAAGTGTAAGAAATGTCAAGGGACTTAGAAACGAATTCCGTTTCCGTGCGGAACTTCTTCTGATTGCGTTCACACTGGATCCAATATAAATATACATATATATATATATATTGTATGTGTGTATAGTGTATTGCAATTGATGCCAGGTCAAAAAATCACCAAACGCACCAGTCGCTCCTCCACGCATCGCGGCAAAAACCACGGCGCCAAACGGTTCACCGGTCGCCACCATGTCCCGGTCGCCGACGCCGGGCACCGGGCGAACAGCAGCGCATCGGTTGCAGCTGCAAAAGCAAGGCTTCGGTCCTTGCGGTTGCCAAGACAGGAATGCTATGGGTCTACAAGCCAACGAATGGTTTCAACGGGTTTCCAGGCTTTCCACGATAACACCGAGCCCGGAGGTGAACTTGGCATCCGCGCGGTCCAAAGAAAGAAACAGTTGGTTGAGCAGTACTTGTCCGCATGGCTCTATAGATAGCTATGACGCATCTTTCTGAGACAACTTCTACCTGGGATGTTAAAAAGGAGAAGAATAGAATATAGAGTCTGTCAACATCTTTCAACCAATTGTTGATCGTCATGAACCTCTCCCAAAACCCTCCAGGGCCCTCCAACTTATGGTAAAGTTTTACATAGCGAGCCACCTCACTCCGTCACTCTGTCCCAGTGAAAACCTCGACCCATTCACCAGAAAGCAGGGGGCCTGTCCGGCCTGTCCGACACCGTTCCGAAGCAAGGGTCTCCCAAAATCTCACGGGTCGGGTGTTGTCTCCAGCTCCGACACCCCTAGGCGCGACCCGACGGACCAGGACCGGGACGTTTCAAGCCCCGGATCTCCCGGCCTTCAGGAGGGTTGGGCCCTGTGCGGGGGGGGGTTCCGGGAAGTGAGTCCTGGAAAGGTGCACATCTTCGAGGTATTCGCAAATCCTGCGTCCGAGATCCGGATTCGTGGTGGTGCGGTCGGGCGATGGATGGGTGGTCGGTCGACGGGGGGGGTCCGGAAGAGGTCCATCCCGCCGCTGTCTCTTTGAGGCGTTTCGATGGTTTGATGTCCCTAAAGAAGCACCCAGGTGATTCCAGGGGAAAAAAATCATCCATCATCTTATTAGGTATTATGTGGATGATGTGTGGGGAGAAGAGACCTGGGATTATGTGGATGTGTCGGGAGGCAAAGCCCCGAAGCAACGGGTTTGCTTGCTTGCTCTTTGCTTGCTCTCCCGTTTGCGGTCCCCATTCACAGGGAGACATCCATATGGCCATATGGCCTGTGTGTAACTGGTCTCGCACCCCGGTGGTTTTTAAAGATCTGAACTTTCAAACAGCAGGCTGTCTGTCACCTTGTCTATCAAAGTATGACCACATTCTTCGTCTGCATCAGTTGGTGGCTGACTTCAATAAGCATCTTCTGACATGGCCTAGTGGCCTAACAGTGCAGCGCTGTCCCAGCTTCCGAAGAAGGAGCCTTTCTCGCCTTTCTTTTGGGGCTCGGCTGGAGGGGCCTACTTCTAGATTCTAGATGCTTCTCAGTATCCTGTGGTTTGAAGTTCAGCCAGTCCACCATGCCGTTCCCCAGCAGCGGAAGCTCCCTGCCTGAAGGCACGTAGATCTTCGTAAAACACCGCTGCCCCAAATTGCTCCCCTCAGTCCGGGTGGCGAAAACGCTGGGACGGTTGCTGCAAGGCAGCGGAGTTTTGTGGGGCCCTTTCTGATTCCAATGGCGCCCTCCGACCTCTCTGTGTGTGCTACTTGTTCAGCAAACATAGACGTTGTCAGGTTGCGTGATATGAAACGGAGTACTTGTTCTTTCTACCCAGTGTTGTATGCCACAAATGCTCAATGCTTCCAATGCTTCTATCATTCTTGGGAACTCCAACTCACCTGCTGTCGGTGCAAAGCTCCAAACAGCAAAGCTGTGGCCTCACTGAAAATTTGATCCATCTTTACAAACTGTTGTGAGGTCGCATGTTGATATCACGACAACTCAAGCATTTCTTGGGTGTTTCTATATGATTTCATATGGCTGCCACAGTGCGAGTGACTGATAAGTGTTTTCGGTGGGTAATGCCCCCGAACCACACTAAGAGCTGTTGGACCATGTCAAACTTCTGGGCGGCCTCCAACAGCGGTGATGCAGCAAACAGCATTCGCCTCAGCCGGATCGGGACCGGGACACCATTGCTGGAGAGATGAGTACTGTATCTACTTATATCCATTTTCCCCAATTGCGGACGTCGAAAGCTCTGCTTGTGACACGCCGCGTGCACTAATTACGAATTAAGAAGTAGACTACACTCCCGAAAACTAACATAGACCCTGACAATGGTCCATGGAAGACTATTTTCCTCTGCCAACCAGGGGTTTCAGGTTCCATGTTAGTCTTCCAGGGTGTATCTACTTATCCCAAAAAATGGACACTGCCGCACTGTTCTCGCAACTTAGATCGAAGGCGTTCAAAACACCCCAAGTTGTGCATGTTCAAGAGGGGGTGTTGTTTGGAGACCAAAACAACAACAAGCAGCCTCCCACGGGTCACCAAAACCTCCAACCAGCAAACTGACCTCAAAGGGATGCTGAGAGATTGTTTCAAAAGACCATTCACCATCCATTCACCCTTCTTCCTTCACACTGAACCAGCGACTGAACCAGCCACCAGCGAGTATCTCTTGGTATGTGGCGACCGACGACACCAGGTGACTGACCTTTGAAGGACCACCGAGTGAATGAACAGAAAGAAATTACCAGACATGGTCAAACCGAAACGGAGCTCCAGGTTTTGACCCACTGCCATATAAACATATATTATGAATAAGTCAACTGTATATAAACTATTATATTAAACTATTATATAATGATATGTGCATATATGCACATATCATTAAAATGGTCAAGAGTCAGACCGCACTTGGCCATCCCACCTTCCACCATCGAACGAAGGCGCACCTGGACCTCCGCATCGAACGCCATCGCCCGGAACCCCTTGGGGCGGACGTCCAGCACAGCGGCACAGCGAGTGGCTGTGAACTTTCGAACCGAGTTCTGTGTAAACCGTTCCGTTCTGTGTGACTTTTCTTTCTCATATGTTCTCAAATGTGAACACTTAACCGGTTAACTGTAGATATTTGAAGTCTAACAGTAACATATTTTGTGTTAAATGTTTGCATCATGAACACATATGAAAACAACACTGTTCTTTGTCTGGACATACTCTCTTGGCTCGTGCACCGGTCTGTCCAGTTGCGGTCCACCGTCGAACCTCTCGGACAGAAAGACGGAGGCCGACGGGCCATGGCAGCAGACCGGTCCTGGTTGACCCCGGTTGAATCCGGTTGACCCAACCATGAGAGGTTTTTTGAGGTCGCTGAACGTTCGGACCCTGGTCTGTGGTGGATGGGCGACCAGACGGGCTGTGAGTGAAAAACCTCTCTTGCTTCGTAGCTTGGTTCGTGTTCGGGCTCCTACGGCCCAGGGTCGCCAGCATCGTAGCAATGCCCTGGACGCTCCGTTCGTAGCTTCCGCGATGCCCGCGGTGTACCGCTCCGTTCGTAGCGATGCCGCGATGCTACTGCTTCGTAGCACCCGGGATCGTCGGTCGGCCCATGCGAAGGTTCTGGCTTTTCTTCGTGCGGGCAAATGGTGAACTGGTCGGACTCACATGGTTTTTCACGACCCAGGCGTTCATATACCAAAGCCCGTTGGGCCCTATTTCGGGGGTCCCGTATTTTCAAGTACAGACCCAGAATATGATCAACGACTTAAGCTGATCATGCTGAACTGGAAGGCTTAGGTGCACAAGCTCTGGTGGAATACTTGGAAGGCCTTTAAATGGGAGTATAAAAGAACCTCTATTATCTGATTGCAGTTCCAGCAATTCATCCTAACCAATGCAGCTTTCTCACATTCTCCACAGCTATAAATCAAGCTTTGAGGCGGCGGTGACGACCAGCGACGGCCACCTGACCCACCCGACTGATGCGCTCGGCGCGCCACGTCAACCCTTTTGAGTGAGCGCGTCACGTCACGGCAACGGGGGTCCGAGACTCGGGTCGCCTCCATTCGGAGGGCGCCCAAGCTGCTTGGGTCGGAGGGACCTTCCGTTCCGTGGGAGATTGGAGGCGCGCCCAAAAAAGAGCGAGGTGACTGCAGCTGAAGACATCTGGGCCAACGTTTGGAGACACTCCTCCTAGCTCCTATCCAGCCGTGGTCTGGATTTCCGATGATTTCCTGTGGCCTAGATGTCCCCTGCCCAGACTGGATTGGGGGCACTGGAGCCCCCAGCATGCAATTGGAGCTAGATGAGCCCTTCGTCCCACTCTCGACGACGTGAAGGTGCTATATACATTGGCTCTTGTGCTACAGTTACTATAGCTTCTTTACATGTGTTTGCCCTGGTAGGGAGTGTCAACTTGGAAAGCGTCCCAGACCCTGAAGAAAATGTCGGAAGTCCGACGTCTTCAAGAATTCAAAGACCCACAACGTTCCAGTCAGCCCAAAATGAGTGGAGAAAGGGTTGGAGCAATCTACAAACCACCAGTTGAGGTTCACCTGATTGTTTGAACAGACTCTGAATCGGAATAGCACCTTCAAAACACATGCAGCTTCAGTTTTTTGACAAAATACCTGACGAAGCATTCTTTTTTGCTCCTACCGCTGCAGACTAAGGTCGACCCTGAAAACCACCGGCTTGTATACGGATTCGTGAAAAATACATCTATATAGCAAAAAAGGTCTTGCAAAAAAGACATGTTCATTCCAGTCATTTCCACCCTTCACCCGGAGTCAGTTTGAAATGTCTGTGGCGGAGTGGGTGAGATTTTTTCAGTGCGCGGGTCAAGGAAAATCCTGTTCCACGCAGTCTATTTCAATGTTTTTTTCGGTTTTAGGGTCCACTGGTGCTTTCCAGCACGGACTGTGGGCAGTGCTCCCTGAGCGGCCGACGCCAGCTTTTTGGAAGATCAATCATCAACATTCTACATGATTCTTCATCCAAAGACTTGAAATGGGATTCCTTCTGGGCTCAAGCCAGCCTAGCCTCACTGGAAATGGCCTTCTTTGGGCCTTTGTTCTACAATTGGGATGTCTTCTCGGCTTCCACCGGTGGGCGAAATCCCTTCGTGGTTCGCTCCGATCGCCGTGTCCACGGCTCGTTCTCTCGACATCCTGGCGTGACTGGGCGTGACTGGGCGTCGGATGTGGCAGCTGTTGCGAGGTGTTTTGGGCCAACCGGTCCTTTTCAGACCAATCAAGGCTGCCTGCCAGTGGGACAAAAGGGTCGGCCAAGGCGCAATCAGTCAAAGGAGCATTCCTGGAAATGGGAAGAACAGCAGGGCCATCTTTCTTCACCCAAAAAAGGAACACCCAAGCCTTCAACAGGATAGCCTTGCTCAAAGCAGGAGGATTTTGCGCCGTCCCAAGTCACCAACTCTGAACCCGCGCAGCAAGTGCATCTGTACGGCTTCATGGTCTCAGCTTCATTGTGCATCTGCAGGGAGTGTTCTTGGGGAGTTTGACTGACTAACAATGGTCAGCAGAGGGGCACGTCGGGCACGGCAACAGTCTCACGTCAAATTGACCTGGGATCGCTTCTCCAATCTGAAGAAATGGGACCCCGAAATCGGTGATCGGCTCAACTCCTCAAGTCTTTACCTGGAGAACTCCTGGAGATCCTGCGAAAATCAGGAACATATTCCGGATTCGGCATGAAAACCCATGGATGCCCATGGTTCGGCGTGACAAACATGTTCTGCCCGTCTCCTGAGTCTTGATTTCGAGGAGCTCAATCCTGGAGCCGGTTGGATCGGCCGGGAATTCATCCAAGGTCAAGCTTTTACTGTTGTATAGGAAGACACTATAGATATGATGTACTATGATCAACACCATCAATCATCATCATCCCAGGTTTGCTTCTCGCTTTCTTTGTAGCAATTGTTGCAGGCAAACGTTCTGCATCATGCGAGATAGAGCCAGAGCTGACTCATACCCCACTGCTTCTGACTCTTGCGTTGATTTGCAGCTGGTCAATTGAAGCCTCTCTCTCCGCTTCCCTGCTCTTCAGCAGGCTTTCGAAGACTATATAAACCAATAGAACGATGGATTTGGAGAAGGAAAACGGCATCATGACGTGTGTGTCGGGCTCATGACCCGTTGAGTCTTTCCAGCGATCCAGCCATGACACGTTGAAGGTTGCTCGCCCACCGGGGCCCAATCTGAAAAACCAGACTTCAGATCTATGAAATCAGGGAAGTCCAGGTCCAAGCAGAAAATTCAGGTCTTCATCTCCATACATCATGTTCCAGAACTTCAGGACGATGATACACTAACTGATATGCTGTTTACCCTAACAAACAAAACATGACAAAGGAACAAAGGGACATTTGGACACCTGCGGCATCTCTGACTTCAAAAAAAAACGGTCGATTGAATGTCCCAAACTAAAACTACTGTTCGTACCTGCGCCACTACTGTTCGTGTGACTTTCTGTTGTTTTGTGAAAAGGCACTCTGCGGAGAAAACCGTCGTTTGGCGGAGAAAAACGTCGTGTGTTGGACATGATGGTCCTTTCACATCGCCGCGCTCCACTTTTACGACCAAAACGTGAGGCCGCTTGCGCCGCCGTGACACGGCGTGTGTTTTGCTTAGACGTCTCTTTTGGTGGAACGTTTTGCCCGATTCCCCGCGAGAGGCGTGTGCTGCTTGAAGATTCAGATCTTTGCTTTTCTGCTTCCTTTGTGAAAAAACAAAAGGCAGTAACAAACCCAAAGAAGTGCCGCTTGATCTGCAAACTATGTTGTTTGAAACAGCAATCATTTGACATGCTTTTGAGGACGCATGTATCCTTCTTCCTCTTCTCCTCCTTCTTCGTTTTCGGTTCTTCCATTTTTCATATCCCTTCCTTCCACCTTCCACCATCTTCACTCATATCTGAAAGCCCACCCCACCCCACCCGGCTGCCTCCGCGTTCGAGGCGTTGGACACCCCTGAGCCACTCACCGCGGGAAGGCCTCCGAAGCGATCTCGGTCCCACTCGTGGGGGTCGCCAACTTGCACAAGTGCATCGCTACCAGTAGCTTCTTGTTACTACTGTAATGGCCTCGAACCTACTAGCGATGGCCTCCAACCTAGTAGCTTCTTGTTGCTAGTAGTAGTGCCCTTGTTACTATTAGCGATGCACTTGTTACTGCTTGAAAGCCTTCCTGTACAGAAGAAAGTTATTGGGATGGGATGGATAGTTGGGACCTAAATAAGCTCCACTACATCGCACAGAGGTCCCACCGTTGGGCGATCAGTCTTGGTGCTTTGGTGCACGGGTCGAGTCGCGAGTTTGGCGCTGCACTGGTCAAGGGGTGGGGGCATCAAGAAAGGATGAGAAAGGACAAGTGTTCGAAGAGTCTGGGCAATGTCTAGATCAAAGTGAACTCAAAGAATTTATGGATATTATATGTGTGACCATATATATATATATATATATTGTTCTTTATATATCAGGTAATTGTCCTTCTGTATGGAGATTCCTTCCTTACCTCAGATTCCTTTCAAAGACTTTTTGGAATGCATTTCGAGACAACCTTAGCCGTGAGATGCCGTGAGCCATGGCCAAAACATGCATGCAATGCATGCATTGTAGTATAGTCCAGTTCCACAATTGTGTGCTGACATGTCTTGTTTTTTGAGCTTGGTCGATGGGCACACTGGTCGGGGCTAGGGGTCAAGGTTCCACTTCTGCTCATGCCAGGTTTGGCAAGCTTCGTGACTGAATTGATCATCCCAAACATCTCCAAAACATCTCCGAAAACGCCGTGTGATCACAGCTTACAAAGCTTCTTAAGTTCCAGGAGTGGAAGTCATCCGTTCGAACACCCAGCCATTCCAAGTTCTTCCAACCCTGGTCGCCCTTCCAAGTTCGCGGCGCCATCTCCGGCTTCGGACCCGATTTCGGGACGAAGAAAACATGTGTTCGCCCGACGGACGTCCACAGGTCGCACAGGCAGCGGCGGCCTCTAAGTTACTAGCAATGGCCTCCCCTAAGCGGCCTTTTTGAGGGTTTCTCCTAACCCACCCATGCCGACATGTGCGGCAACGAAAAGGCCAGGAAGGTCGACGGTTGCCTTGGAGGGTCGCCGCTAGGTTGGTGGTCGTCGTCTTGCGCGTGGACCTGGCGAGAAGAGAAGAGGAAAAGGGAGGAAAAGGGAGGAAAAGGCAAAGGGTGAGTTTTTGGAGGAAACTGAAACATACTGAAACATAACTGGCCAAGTGGATCGATGAAACCATGTGTGAATCCAATGAGCTTACTTGATATTTCTCAGGGGACGGTGGGGTTGCCACTGGTTTGTAGATAAAGCGGTCTTAGACTCAGTACCCCATCGATTTTGAGGCTCCATGTTAGTCTGCAGTGTGCAGCGGGGGTAATAGAAAATACAAATCAACTGATCTATAGATTGATCCCGTTTGTACCCAAAATCTTCTCTGAGCATGCCCTGGCTACTGGCTACCTGCACCGCGAGTCGTTCTGATCGCGGGTCGTGACTGATCGCGGGTCGTTCTGACCGACTGAGCCTGCTCTTCTTGGGCTGGCTCGTCTTGATGATGAGCTTCTCGAGTCGTTCGAAGCGATCTTCCTCGACCTTCAAGCTCTCATCCTGCCGGTCTTGATGGAGCATCCGAGAAAACGAAGGGATGGTTGGGGAAGGGGGAGGGCGGACCAAGTCCAAACTGGTGAACCTGTTTAGAACAAGTGGACAGCAAGTAATTAGTTTGGGCACAATCTGCAGAATCCCAAATCCCTTTCACGGCTCTCTTCCCTCACAGGTGGCTCCGAACTTCCCAAAAAGTTCTGCAGGCCACTTGGTTAGGGAAGTGTAACCTCTTCTTCCTGATATCCAGGCTATCTCGGTCCCACATATCCGATGCGAATGCACCAACCCCACAAAGCCTCCGCACGCACGCATCAACTGGTCGGCGTCCAAAGCCCAACTAGGATACGTTCCCCGTCCACCTCGGGCCATGGCATGGAGGGCGCTGTAGAGCCACCGTAGCGCTTGATGCTGTCAGTGGTCACCGTGCTCGCGTTCCTGGGCGAATTCGCTGCGCGGCCGCGCGCCGAGCGGCGCCACGGTTTCCTGGATGTGAGGTGCCCTTGCTTTGCCGCGGCGGATAGATGCATGGAATGGAAAGATATGCGTGGATGTATGGTGGATGTATTGAAAACTCCGCAAGGGGGTGCTAGATGGAAAACGACGCATTTGGGGTGCTGTGGCAGTGGCTAATTTGTCTCATGTGGGTTGGGCCCAGAACTTCAATTGAACATTTGTTGGGGGGCTTGGTGATCGAAACCTTATGGTTTGCGGAAAGCCGATCTTTCGGCCCAGGCTTAACCCGGAGCCTCTTCTCCTATCTTCCATTTCTCATCATTTGTCTCCTCTACAAAGATCCCAAAAGTCCTCAGGTCTTCCTCTTCCACATGGGTGCAATAGGGAGACCTCCCAAACCTCGAAGGTTCCGGAAATAGACCCATCTAAAGGAGGGGTCCCCACGGTCCCCCTATTAAAATACATCAATACAGACCCTCATGTCCTTCCACTCCTTCCACCTCTTCCACACGTCACACCCCAGCCGGTCGCACCGAGCCACGCCGGCTCGAGGATTTGGATTCCACCGGCCAGACCCACGTCACCCTCGTTGAACTCCAACCGCTCCTGGCGATCAGGCGGGGTCAGGAAATGGGTGGAAAGCGGATGAAGGAAGATGAAAGAAGGTGGTCATGTGGTCTAACTACTTGTTCCGCCGGGCGTAGACGGCCGGGTGGTTTCGGGACAAGGGACATGTGTGCTGAAGAAGTCGCTTTATTGACATTACCTTGGGATGTGCATTTCTTTGGTTGTTAAGGGCTTTTTTGCGCAGCCGTTTGTTTCCAAAAAAATACATTGGTTAGTCAAGGTTGCAAAGAGAAGGACACATTCTCCCTGCTATATAGAAGTCCAGTCGGACTAGAAATCTCGGCCTGTTCAGTGTTCAGAAAGTGTTCAGGAAGTTCCGAAGTTCCTGGCGGTCACCCTATTATTGAAACCGTCTTGGACTCCCAGAATTTCGAGGGATCTCCGCTCCCGCGATCTGGCAATCTGCGGATGCGCCGACCATGCGCACCTCACCGCTGCCGACAAACGACAGGGTCGGTGCCCAGGCCGCCGTCCTCGAAGCCGAGCCTCTTGAGGAAACGGCCCCAGCTCTTCTGCGTGACCTGGCGAAAGACGTGTCAGCGCGGAAACGGCCGTGGCGCCATGGCCGGAAACGGTCCTCGCGGCACCGTTGGCACCGCAGGAAGGGACCCGGTGATTCAAGCATCCGTTGAATGTCTGCGTCATCTGATGAACCTAGTCTCTCTCTCTCTCTCTCTCGCTCTCTCTCTCTCTCTCTCTCTTTCTCTCTTCAGGTAACAAACCCACCAGGTGACCGTGTGTAGAAAGGTCATTGCTCGGTGCGGGTTTCACATCAGTGGTCTTGGAATTGAAAAGGATTGAAAAGCTGCTCCTCTCTACAAAAATTCTATATCAAAAATAGGCCATGTATTTCTCTGGACAAAGGAAGACACCAACCCAAAAACACAGGAAGAAAACAGCGTTTTGGCATGTGACAAGTGCATGCTTGGCAGCTCGGTTTTCAATGCCGGTCTTGTCTGCTGACTGCTTACAGTTTCAACTCCCGCACTGCACCACTGCAACCTCTCAGCGCACCACTCGTCACGCAACAACGGCCGCGCGATCCACGGCAGCCGTGGCGCCTCTTCTGTGACCGACACCACCACGGCCGCTCGGTTCAGCCGAGCGTAGCCTGGAGTGGGGATGCCCACGAGCGCGGGTGAGGGCGAGTGAGCGAGTGGCACAGCAACTTGGTCCATGGAAGGCACCCGTCCCAAACCACCAGTCGTTGGTCGTTGAACCCGTCCGTCATCCACAAAGGTCCCGTTGAACCTGCGCGCGAACCCGTCCGTCCAATATCCGTCAGCCTCCAGTCCCAACCGTTTGGGTTACGGTGTTTCGGACGTTTCGTCGGTGAGGGGTAGGCGAATGAAGGGTTAGTAGGATCGTTCCCAGGTGAAGAGGATGGAGGTTGGATGAGAAAATATATATTAGGATTGGTTGGAGGAGAGGGACACGCGATCTTGCATATGAGGCGGGAGGCACAAAGTGGCACAAATCCACAGAGCCCTTTTATGGCAGATCCATCTAAACCACCTCTTGATGATTGTCATCTACTCTGCAACCACTGAAGTACAGTACCCCTTCACAAGACCTATAGTGACCTAGTGACTCTGCTGATCTATCGGACCTTGTGGGCTTGTGAAACTCCGTCTTGCCAACCACTGGCACCTCCTCTAGCACAGTGGCAAACTTTCTCCAGCAAACCATCAAAACCCTTTGCATACACGGTCCTTGAAGTTGGAGATGCTCTCTATGCACGCGCCAACTGACATCGGCTCTGGTCAACTAAAGTCCCTGAACCTTTCTTTCCACCAGCGACTCGAAGCGCTTTTGGGTGCCCACCCCGCGACTTCAGCTCCGCTGTCCATCGCGGATTTGCCTCGACTCGACCAATCCCCCCAACCGTGCCTTGCATGTCTTGGAACATCGAGTGGTACGATTCGGTCAGCTGTGCCACCAACAGATTCCTCAGACGCACGGACAGCACCGAGTTCGCGCGCGCCTTATCCGTGGCCGAACTGGACTCCACCCGGCTAGGTTCAGGGCCGCCTGCCCCGCCTGCCCGCTGGGATGCTGACCTGGGACCCTTTAACCGCTGGGCTCCAGGGATCTCGGAGCTTGGTGGGACGAGCTTTTTGGGAGCGCAAGACCACGTTCGCCGGCCCGGCGTGGCTTCCGAATCATAGATCATCGCCACTGGGTGACGTGGAAAAGCACGTGAACTGGCATTTGGAAGAGACAAAACATGTATCCCAAACAGAACTAATGTTCTGCAATTTACCGGATGTTTGCTTTTTCAGGGGAGGATAGAAAGGAGGTCAATCCCTCTGAGATGGGACTTTGGTCAACCTTTCTCACCAACGCTTGCACAAAAATCTGAGTGTGACAGGAATGGGACCAAGTCAATATCTTCAAGAAACGATAGGAACAGTGGATCCACTGTATTCAAGGAACTGGCGCCTGGAGGGCGTTCTTCAGCACATGCTTCTTCAGCCGGTAGTGATTTCAATGGAAGTCCGTGAAAATGCACCGGGGGTGGGGTATCTCAGTCCGACTCCCCCAGGAAGGACTCATCCAAAATAAGGTGAGATGGGTACCCATGACCTTCTGTTTTGGCCTACTCGTTGGCACAAGACTCGGAAAGAGAATCTTGACAAGCCACCGGGCCTGCGCCTGGTTTCTTTGGTCCTGAGCTTCCAGGTCTCTTCTCCCAGCACGGGCCCCACGGCCCATCACGGCCCCTGGCGTCCTTCCTTCAAGTGGCAACATCACCACGAAGACCACGGCGACGAAGGCGGAGACGGCCACCAAGACGGGGACCTGGTGCGGCGGTGGAGATGGCGGCGGTGCAGACAGCGCCCTGAGTCGGTGGAGATGGCGTCCAGCACAAGGAATGTTTTGAAAGAAAGATGGGGTCTTTGAAGCTACTAGTAACAAGAAGCTACTGGGGGCTCCTGGCATCGCTACTAGGAGCAAGGACGCTACTAGGGGCTCCTGGCATCGCTACTAGGGGCTCCTGAAGCTATTTACTAGGAACAAAAAGATGGGTCTTCAGGATGATCTTGAGTCTTGGGACATTTTCGGCCTATGAGACTCAAGACGGAAATGAGAAACGATGGAGGTCTCGATTTGTCCTGGCTCTTGTAGGATGTGGTTCCACCAACTGAAATTTCATGCATGTATACATGCTCCTGCAGGATGCTAGAGGGTAATGCTAAGACATCAAACAGGTTTCTGTTTCAGCTTGACCAGGCCACTTCATAGTTTGGCGGAAAATGACCCCTTTGGAAACCATGCACGCAACAGGCTTTCCACGGCCTTCCTTGTGAGTGTAGTTTTCCAGAAACGGGAACCGCTGCATGCACCACTCCAGACGATGCCCATCAACATTCTGATCAACAGTGAGGCGTCTAATCATCGGTAGAGGATGTTAGATTTCATCCCATCATCCGATCATCTTCCTGGAAGTCATGTCATGATCAGCCATCCAAGGCCATCTGTGGATGCATCAAGGGAAGATAAGGGAAGCATCAAGCCATCGATCTTCAAACAGGAAGACCCCAGCTTAACCCCAGACTCAACAGAGCCCGACAGAACGCACCCTCCCGTGAGTGTTCAAGGTTTCGATTTTCAGGGTAAAAGAACCATGGCCTGGGCATTGTGGCATCGGTTGGTAGCCTTCACATTTCTTCTAAAGTTGTCCATCCTGATGTCGCGTGCTTTCCACTTGAGCTTGCCATTCACCCTCAAACCACCACCACTCCTGTGACATCCCAGGACCGGAGCGCCCCTCGCCTCCTCTCGAAAGCTCAAGTACTCTGTGGCCGGGAACATGCCTGGCTGATCGCTCGGTCCTCCCAGCGCGGCACCGTCCCAAGGTGAAGGTCCTTCGGTTTTGCTGTGGAGTTGACCACCGGCCCGGAGGTTCAGCAGCCTTTTTCGGTGTCTGCGCTTCAAGCCCTGTACCCACCACGGTTCCAAGTTTTCTTCGCAATCATGCATTCTTTTGGGAAGCCGGGATGCTGCAGTGAATCATAGGCTCAAAGAAAGTGTTCTTCATATCGCGCCGCCAGAAACGTGTCTGCAAGAGAGCCTTTCACACGTGTCAGAACCTCCCAGAGACTCGCCCAAACTTCACCCACCAATCCATCCTCTCTCTGTTCACGTGGTGGTCTAAGACCACGTGGACTTCTTCAACGTGCGTGATTTAGATCAGCAGGTTCACCTTTTGAATCAGCTTCCCCACATGGAACACCCCAAATTCACTGGACAGAAGCCTTGCAACCAAGAAGCTTTAAGCTTTACGTGAAAAAATACCGAGAAAGCACCTGCAGTGGATTCGTCCGAACTTCTGTCAGAACCGCAGTTGCGGCCGGCGTACCGCGCACGCGGCCGGGCGTACCGCTGTGCCTAGGGAGATCCGAAGTAGCGCGCCGAGCCATAGATGAACGCCATCGTAGGACAACCTCAGAGAAAAGCCGCCCAACAGCGAAACAAGAGGAAAGCCGCTCTTGAGAGATCTTTTTCTCGAGCCGTGAGGGCTTACGGACTCCCAGGAGGGCATAGACCGAAGACTCAATGCAACTTGGTGTTTGTATGGTCTATGAGTCTATGAGTCTATGGTGATGAAGAAACTGGATGAAACGAACATGCCTTGGAATGCAACGTTTCTGGAGGTCTCAGGTCTCATCCACTCGACAACAGAGAGAGTCACACCGCGGCCCAACCGGATCCGCTTGGATCGGATCGGACCGAGCTTCACGGGTGAACCACCGACCGGTCCACGGACAGAACGGGCCCGGGCAGAGGGGGGATCCACGGTTCCGGGCGATGCCTGATCTGACTTGAGTCCTACGAACGGGTGACTGATCTGGTGGCTTTGTGTACCTCCACCAAACCTCGAACCTCTTGAGAGCATGACTCATGAAACCTGGACCCTCAACACCATGGCCCATGGGGCTTGTGCATTTGGAAGAAGCAAAGTTGGTGCAACCTCTTCAAGTTTGTGGCACTAGGTCAGGTTTGCTTGTAAACCAACGTTGGATATGGGCCTGTTCCAGCCTGTTCCATCAGGCATACAAGCCGGTTCCATCCACCTAAACATAGCTCTTGATCTCTTGCATTTCCACCTGATACTCTGATGTCACCACTGCATCTAACACCTGGTGCCTGTCACTGCTCGTTCGCGGCGCCTCACCGACCTGCCGTCGGGTGTTTGAGCGCCAGGACGTCCTCATGCAACCCGAGGCGCAGAGAGTGGTTCAAGGTGCTAATGGCCGTGGCGAAGGCCACGATTAAGAAGCCCAACGCCAAGCCAAAGAGCGCCACCTGGCGGTTCAAAGATCGTTCGTGTTCCAGTTCACAAGACCGGTCACCAGGTTCGATATCAACACGTACCTGGACCTTGAGAGCCCCCAAAAGGTGGGATGTTGGGTAAGTGGTTGGTAATCTTTGTGTTGCTAGGGGGTTGGAGATTGAATACCCCCCCTTGATTGACTTACGTTAGTGATGGTGCTCATCGATAGTGCATGTGACTCCAAGCATGCGTGAAACAAGGAGTCGTTGATTGGCAAAAGTCAGATTGGCACCCATTCTCAGTTGGCACTTCCAATCCCAACCGTGCCAACCCCCATATAATTGAAATCCTTCGTTCGCCAAATTGTCACCAAGTCTTCATCTACCCACGCCATCACCCACGCCACGCATCTCCCCACGTCCCATCCGCGCTGGGCACCTCCGAGAACACCCGGCTGCACCTCAGTGAGCTCAGCTCAGCTCAGCGAGCGAAAGCAACTTCGGCCCTTGACCTGCTGCCTTTGTAATCATTTCAGTATCATGTAGACTCTTGATGAATAACTCCCATGAAAATTGAAAAACCATCCCAATCAAGAGTCTACTCCGGACCTGGCCCTGGCAAAGGATTTCACCCCTCCAACGACGGGCTTTGTCAGCGTGGAGGGCTTTGCCTCGAAATCAGCGAATCCAATCCAAGTCCATCCATGTTCAGCCCGTGTGAACAATCATGTTTTTGTATTGGTTGTTCTGATTTTCTCCCAAACTTCAGAAGACACCCATTTAATTCTCGGGCCAGACGGATTTTGCCCTGGCCAGACGAAGCGACGGGACGTCAGGTTTTCTCGTTGCCAGGGCACACTAGGACGAAAGCAGACAACCTCATGGAGATCACCTCAGGCAGGTGAGGCCCCAGCCAAACTGGGCCGGCCAATAGCAAGGCGCCGAACTGGGGGTTTCCACGAAAAGAGCTTAGTAAGAGATCTACAGTTCCAGTTGGGGATCTGCTCTGTCAGATTGATCGCTATAGCCAACCAAGGTTCTGCGAAGTCCACCAAGAGCGCCCAATAGAGCAGCATGGCTAAGCCAGAGAAGATGTAATATGCGCCCATGTCCTGGTGAAACTCGTGCTCCAGCGAGGGAATCGGCGAGCGGTTCAGGCTCATCAGTGCATCATAAGTCTGAAGCAACATGTCTTGATTCAAGGTCTTTCCTTCTAGACAGGATAAGATCAATTCTCAGGATTAGCACCCATGTCCGGTCGTTCTCGGGATGGTAGCACTAGCTAGGGTGGTTGATGTATTAGAAATGATGTACCTGGCCCCCGAGGGGTGTCTAATAATAGCTCCTTAGAGGTGATTTGGGGTGTCCATCAACCACCCCAAACCGGAGGCCCTGGTAGATGTTGCATGATGGTGCGGCGTCTTCGCACCCCTGGTTCTGCTGTTCTGGTTCCACAGGAATCGAACCAAGCTAGGCGCCACATGGTTCGAGTGACCTGAGCAGATAGCACCACTGCAGTCGGTCTGAGTCCGAAGGACTTGGTGTTCGGCCTCCTACATGACGACCAAATGGCCATCGATCTGACTTCATCACGACCTATCTACCTCAGTGGATCCAGGGGTTGCCCACCCGCTGTTACGTTGCATCACATCTGGTCACATGCAGTGAAGAACGAAGGGTTAACCCTGGTTTTCCGGGCCACGGGGGACCCTTCAGGACCCGCTTCGGGAACGAAGAAAGACGGAGAAAGAAGGCCTCCTACAGGAAAGACAGAGACCCGGAGACCCTGGAGGTTCCGCGTCCTCGGCCGCGGCACAATTCTCGGTGAAGATGTAGGTGCCGGTGGAGTTATTCATCTCCTGGACCACGTAGGGAGAGGCCCCACGTCAGGCTCGACGATGGGAGAGGCTCGACAAAAAGGGAGACGGGTTTGTTTGGACCCACGGATGGAGCACCTGAAATATCTCTGAGCCCTTTGCTTGGTTGTGGATTGGTGATGCATCTCCTTGTTCAAACAAACCAATCTCTCTCTCTCTCTCTCTCTGTTCATTGACTCCAAATTTCATGGTGCGTCGTCGCTGCGTTGTAGAAACAAATAGTCAATTGGGTGATTCTCATGCCTTTCATTGAACTCAAAGAAGCTAATACCAACCCACGGTCCAACCCATCGCGCTCCCAATCTAGGATTAGAACCTCGCATGATTCTATGGAAAACCCCTGCCTTTAGCAAACAAACGATTGCGGTGTACAGCTAGGAGAAGTGATTCTTATGTCCCCAGCAGTGTTTAGGATGTGCTTTGTTCACTGCTTCTTTTGTTCCTACATAATATAATATCTAAGGACCATCTCCTGGAAACAGTATTGATACTAATTACTCCCAAAAAAGAGAAAACTACCTCAACACGTGCCGGAGCACTACCCCCGGCACCACCCCTAAACCAACGCTCCCTTTTTGGCGGCTGTGCTCCAGCCGAGCGACCGTGCCCAGTTCGGCACTATCTTTGATGCACCACAGGATCGGCTCGAGGAAGAACCTCGGCCAGCACCGCGTTTCACCGTGATGGCCAAAACAGGGACGCGACGAACGCGTCTCGGGGAGAGAGAGAGAGAGAGAGAGAAGAAACCGAACGCGTCGAGCTCGGGGTGACGGAAGAAAGAACGGACGGTCTTCTCGCCGGTCTGGACGTGAGGACGGTCTGACGGTCTTCTCGACGGGCCGAAGCCCAGGTCTGTGGTGGTCCAGGTGTGTTCAGAGGGGGATATTTGTTGAGGTGTCGTACAAACGCAAGGAGAACACCGGCAGCGTGATTCTCAAGGCTTCTTGATGGTCTTCTTCGAGTCCTTGTGCCTGCGTCAAGTTCGTACACCTTCGTATACGTTGGCCCAAAAAACGCCGGTCGTCTTCTGAACGGAGACTCGCAAACAGGACGTCTGAATTCGCCAAGGCGCATGATGATGAGCGCACTGACTAAGGTCATATACAACGCCTGCGGAAAAAAAAAGAGAAAAACACGGCACCGAAAGCGGAGGTTGGTTGAGGTCAATGTCACCCGACTGTCGTCCTTCGAAAGGGAAGGACGACGACATAACCCCGTGGCTTTGGGGCCCGGTTTGGTCGCGAAAGCAGAGGAAAGTACTGAGGCTCCGCCAGACGGTCACTCCCTCATTCTTCGGGAAAGGCCGTCTGCGTCGCCCGAAAGAGTCATGGCCGGGCAGGGTCGACGATCGAAGGGTCGACCTGGTGTGGTTCGAACGTCAGGCCTGTTGAACGTCGAAGAGGTATTCGGGGATGGGAAAGATGTAGGAACGATCAATGGCACCCCGCTTGATGTCCACATAGGCCAGCCTCAAGGCGGAGCTCGACTGGGCGACTGGGGGTTAAAGGTGGCAAAGAAAAGATCGTCTACCTAGTAGAGGCATGAACAAAAAATATTAAGGAGAATTTGAAGTACCCAAAAAGCAAGTTGCACAAAGATCCTCAAAAAACATAGCGGAAGAGCTATTGTCTTTTCTGCTTCTTTGGTGTTCCAGGAGCAACCTATATAAGGTACTTGTGTAAAAGGTATGGTCATGAGGAGATAGTAGGTTGAACAGCAAACTCGCACCTTCTGGACCTTCTGGAAGTAACTTGGCGAAGCATGGGTTTCGTGGTTTCTGTGTGTTGAATCGTCCGGGAGAACCTACCACCTACCCCATGAAAACGTGGGAGACAAGGACACGAGCGGGGCCACCCGAGAACCTGCCGGGCCACGCGAGCGGCGCCAAATCTTGAGAGTTAGCGTTTCCTCTTTGCGTCAAATGCATCGAAACCGAGGTCAAAGAGGATTGGTTTTCATCTGCCATGCGCTGATCAGCTTCAGTGAACTTGCGTGAACCTCTCATTCAAAGGAAAGAAGGGCATGTTGTAGACATGCCCGCAGCTACCTATAGCAACTCCGCACCACAACTGTGTCCTGATGCTGAACAAACTCCCTCCCTCAAGAATCACCAAGAAGCTTCACTTGACCTGAGTCGCTTCGATTCTGTCGGTTTGCTGTGGTTTCTCCGAGCCCCACCAGGCTGACAGGTGTCTAGGAATGGGAGAGAACCCAGTTGAACCGTGCCATGAAAGCCAACCACCCAAGAGACCTGGGGGTCCTTGGGGCCTGAAGACCTCGAGTCCTGAAACCAGTGGTTGAAGAGTAGATGGCACTCGCACCCCATAGATGTCTTTAGATGTCCATATAAACCAGAGTTGGGGGAGTGTGCCATCTACATCATCACGGTCTTCAGGTGACCTTGAAAGGCATGGTGTTCACTTCAGTGTGCAACTGTGTAGTCTTTGGACTTCTAGGGATTTGGTAACACGTCCTGGTGCATCCCCATTGTGAACTCTGGAGATGAAGATCAGAAAAAACAGAAAAAACACCGACTCAGAACCTGAAGCCAACAAAACTCGCAGCCCCAGAAGTGGGCGCTTGGTGAAGCCCCAATGAGGTCCAAACGATGGTCTGTAGTCATGGCCAGCACATGAAAGAAGTGAAAGAAACAGGCTCCTGGAGATTATGATTCGCCCAACCTTCTGAAAAAGATACGTACCACCTTGCACTTTGTGAGGGACCAAGACAAAGGTGTCTTTTGTGCGAGCTCTCACACGTTCAACACAACCGTCCTGAAACTCTCAGGCATGCTGCCAGAAGCTCCAGCACTAGTTATTTATTTCTGCATCTGTATAATATACATCAAACATCATCAAACAAATTTAAGATGTTCTTGGCATACCCACATCGTTTCCTTACATCTTGCTGGTCATCTTCTAGATTCTAACGATGACCACTGAAACTCGAGTGCAAGACTTCAAAGCGTTGTTCTTCAGCTATTGACGACTTGTTGTCGACCAGTGGCTGTAGAGGAGTTGGCACATGCTGCCGAAGTATAGAAAGCATCGGCATGCGAAAATCGCCACATTCTCCTGTTCGAGTTCAAACCCAGCAAGTGGGGAAAAGGGACAGCAGGAAAAGCTGGACACCTGTGGCTTAAGGGCCTACCAGTACGTCTCAGTTCGCTCACTGCAGGGCCTGGGGGCTGTGGGTCATGGCACCTCGCCCTGCAACACCATGGCACCTCGCCCTTCAGATCCCGTTCAATCTCTTCATGTTCACGGGTCATGACGCCCCAGGGTTCCGAGGGGCTCGGTGCCACAGGTTCCGCAAACATCCCGCAGTTTCCGCAAACAGTCACGCTCGCCTTTGGGGGGATGGTCTACACCGGGCTTCTCACTGATTGAATCTGGAAAAGCCCGATAGAAGCACATGGGAGGCTCAAAGAAAAGCCCAAGCTGAAGAGATTTGAAGAGACTTGAAGAGATGTGATTGGCTGAGCTAACCCCTTTTTTCAAGCAGACGGTGTGCTTTCTGCCCGCCACAGGCCTTTGGAGCTCCTTCCAGCGCCCTGCGCGTGGGTTTCGGGCCTCGAAGCTCTCGTCGCGCTGTCCCAGTACAGCTTGACCAGCGATGAAGACACAAAGGGTGAAGAGCAAATAGCAACGTCCTGACACCATTGATATGTCCCCCCAATAGGATGTTTGGGGCGTATGGCTTTGGGGTGAAATCAAATGCATTGATCCAGACGAAAGACCTCCAAAAAGTGGAGGAAAGACTTGGAGCCCTAAAAGTGGCTTCGGAACTTTCTCAGAATGGAGTTGAATCAATCAGGGGTATGTCACTCGCATTTGCCAAACAGCGATGGCCCACGTCCTCGAAGGAAGTAGAAGACCGCAAATCGGAACCAGATGAGATCTGCTGCCAAAGCAGCTGCAGGGTGGCTGACCACATGTGGATCCTGGAAAGGAGTGGCTTGCTGTTTGGGGAAATACCAGCAGCAGCAGCAGCGGCGGCGGCAGCAGCAGCAGCATGCAGAAGAAGAAGAAGAAGGAGAAGAGGAAGAGGAAGAGGAAGAGGAAGAGGAAGAGCAAGAGCAAGAGCAAGAGGAAGAAGAAGAAGAAGAAGAAGAAAAATAATAATAATAAATTGTGACTTTTATGTGCATCGGTGTTGATATTGTTTTGCTTTTATATAAGGAGGCTTTAGGTCTAGTATTCTGACGAGGGCGCTTGACAACAGATCTATATATCTTGATCTATCAAACAAATGCATCTAACAGTCTAACATGAGTTCCTATTATTAGTCAGGTAGACGCCCCAGAAGCCCCCTGGCCACACCATCTTGGCAGCCAACCTTCACATCTGGACTTATCTGAACTATAGGATGGGCACCACCGTGGCTTGGTCCTTGGTACCTGCCGTGAAGTACACAGATCATTTTTGGGTGTCATGTTCATTCAATTTACAACTACAACCTGAACTTTTCGACCCTGTTCCAAAGCATGTCTTCTCACCCGAGCTTTTTGGCCCACAAAAACACTTCCGCACAGACGTCCGTGTACCCCACAGAAACCCAATGACAGACGTCGACGGACCACCGATCTTACCAGGCATCACTTGGCGGGCGTGTATCTTGAGACGGCCTAATGCCTCGATTCGACCGAACATCAGGAGGGTATCCTTCCCAACTGAACGGTCCCTTCCGACTGCGAAGGAGTGAATGGATTTCGCTGCCCTTAAAGCACCATTCCTTCTGGTTTTGATATGCACCTTAATCATGAAATCAGCTGAGCTGGACAAAACAATGGCTTGCCTGGCTTGGATTTAAGAAACTGACCCAATCAATCAACAGGGGACTCCCCACCAAATGAGCAACAAAACTGTTGCCCCGTTGATGAAAAACGGCCGTTGATGCCCACGACCCAACCTGGTACTCCACGAGCCAACTGAGCGTTTCACTGAAGTTCCCATCCAAATCCTGTGCAACGAGCCGTGACCGCCGCTCCCACGAGCCGCGAGCGCATCCGCGAACGGCTCGACCCGATTCCGGTCGACCCGTGACCGGATCCAGTTCCGAGTCGGTCCGAGTCGTCCCAGTTGCATTCGATGAGCAGTTCGTCATGTGGGATGAGGAGGGGAAGCAAAGTCATGAGACCCATGGGACCTCTGTTTGAGACTCAAAACCCAGGTGGACAGCCACCAGGTCGGCATGATCATCGGTCGGTCGCCGGCCCAGGCCGGCGCATCGGGAGGATCCACCCATGACGTTGGCATCGGGCGCATCGGATTTCGATGGCACCACTCAGTCTCTGGAACGAAGTCGAATGCCCTACAAAACTCCAAAGAAGAACGGATCGAGATCAATCCAGGCCCTATCCGCAGATCGCAAAAGATCTGCAAACCCATCCTGCCCAAAAACCTGTGGATCCAACCTGCGGATTCGTTCGAAAACAGGTTCGTTCCCGCAGGTCGTCAGAGTCGAAAAATCCCCTCCTTTAAGAGGAAAAAAGGGACAACAAAAAGAACTGAGCTGAAACGACCTAATCAGGATCCGTTTCTCACTTTCGGACAATTCGTGTCTGTTTGATACATCATCGCTCGTCTTGAACGCACGTCTGCATCGTTTGACTCCAACGATCTCCACGGCAGCCCGCGGAGGGCGGTTCGCCGTTCGAGAAACGGCCCGTTCGGCGAACCACGCCTGCACTAAATGCTTCACATAGTAATTCACCCGCCGTTGCCCGTCCACCGTGCTCCGAGAGCGCCAGACCAAGCCATCCAGAAGAGGCTCCAAAAGGCTGGGCGCACCTGGGAGGCGATCGACTGGGGGATGTGTGCGTGTGTGTTTTGTTTTCCGGAAGGGTGAGTTCCAATGGCTTGGGAGGAAGCAGAGTTTGCTCACCAGTCGTCCACGTCATCAGTCATGTGTGATCAAGACACCGAGCTAGACTACCCCGGTTTTGTCTCATCTTCTCACCCAACACATGGACCATCGTGGACCCCTTCACCACGAGGGCTAAAGGCAGGCACCGTATTGAGCGCTTGCTTCAGGACCTGAACATCCAGGAATTCAGGGCAGAAGTCCCTTCCGACCGCCTGGTGGCATCACGAGTCCCTTCCATGTAGGATGTGTACTTTGCCGAGCTACTCATAAACCCCTTTTCTTCACCCCCTGAATGTGTTTCCCAAATCTCCTCGGCTTCCGCGGTGGCTTCCTCCAACCCTCCAATCTTCCGCACGCCGCCGGTCGCCACTCGCCAAGCGGCACAAGCACATCCGGTGGATCAAGTCTGGGTGCCGAGTGAACAACGCATCACAGCCGTAGTAGTACCTGCAGCGGGCAAAACCGACCGAGCTCCCGAGTGGCTCGACTGGCCACAATTCGGACATAGGTGGCCATAGGTGGACCATGTGGCAAAGTATTGCTTCACAAAAGCCCCAAAGAGTTTCATCGATGAGTCAAATAAATGACAGATGCGCACAACATGTTCTGGTCTTCTTGTAAAATCATGTGGGTATCAGGGATTGGATGGGTTTGGACTTGCCGGCATATTGTTTGAAATCTTACAGATTCTCTGCTTCACGATTGCCCACAATGTTGGTACAGTACAAGCGAAAGATTATGTGTAGAGAGAGAGAGAGAGACAGAACCAACATGTAAATTCACTCCAAAATCAGCCTTCCTTGCAACTGTGCCCCCCATGACCTGGGTAACACGCTCTAATAAATACTGTATAGAGAAAACATGTGTTTAAAACATGTCAAAACAAACACCAAGACAGACCCCCCTCCTAAACCACAAGCTACAAAAAGTAAACATCCCAACCCATGTTGCTGCTTTGTGCACTGGCCCCCGACCTGGGTCGCCATCTCAACCCCTCCTTGTCTCGCGAACTCGGCGACATCACTCCGCCCAGCGACACATCCCGATCGGCCCGAATAGTCAGCAGATCCTGACCGGACGGCCATCGCCCAGTCGACGTCGCCGAGGGCGAACGGAACATGGCGGCGAGGTCGTCCGGCGTTCCGTCCACCGTTTCTCGAACAAATCCGTGGTTGGGTGGATGAACCTCTACTTCTCACAAGCTACCAGGAGCTGTTGATGTGTTTTGAGGTGTCCCCCAAAAAAGAACATACAAAAAGGTACCAAAACCAAAAATCCAGCAGTTGGACCAGCAGTCCAGTTTTGGGGTTCTGTTTTGGGATGGGTCCTATCCAATACAAGGCCGTGCACTCCTGTTCGTTGCATGGGAAATAGCCGCTAGCTGCCCATGTGGCTCTTTCTGGGTGGAAGTTATGTGAATCTGTAGCAAGAGGTTGCTCCCTGCAAGGACGTGGTACTTCTTCCCGCAAGGGGCCCCTTTTTTTTTCATTGCCTTTTTCGCAACGACGCAGTCCACGACGCGACGTGTGGGCCTCTGTAAGTTGTAACTTTCAAGATCACACCAAGCACCCCCTAGTAGCGTCCTTGCCATGGATTGATTCCGTTCCCTAAAACCTCGCTGTCTGACTCTCACTGTCTGAACACACAGAACACTCCGAGACAAACATGAAGATGCCACCTGAGGTCTCACAAGTCCCTCTTCCGAAAAATATGACGCATGCAAGCGGTGCTTTTCTTCAAGTGAGTGGGCCCCAGCAAAAATAGAAACAAACCCTTCTTGGTGGAAATGGAAAGAACCTGTTGAGTGATGAAAAAAACCTCTCTGGCGATATCCTTGGAACCTCTTAGGGACGATCTTCCATTCTGACGCAACCAGGGGGGGTTGACCCAAAACCGATTTGGCTCAAGCCTCATATAGACTCGACCCACCTGCACATACCCAAAAGAACAGGTCTGGTGTCCTCGACCTTCATGCCCTGCTGAGCTCCAATGCTTGACACCCCACAACCCAAAGAGCCACCTCAACCATCTCCTGTCCAACCCATCGCCAGAGTCCCACCCTCATCTCGAATTCGCTCACATTCGCGTGCTGGGCTTTAGAAAGCCCTGGGCATACGAAACAAGCACTCCTCGATAATGGCTTTGGCCGAGATCAAGGAGCCGCTGTCGATGGCCCAATACCTTGTGCGGCTGTCGTTGCTGACTCTCTCCGGTCCGACACCAATCTCGGTCCGACACCGACACCGGAGCACCTGGATGTATAAGACCATGCACTGGTGATCGTTGCAGTCCATTTTTGTTATATGTTGCAGTATATAGGTCCTCCTTTGGTGACGTGTCTTGGGATGGCAGAGAACTCCATGTTGCTGCCTGGCTGGAAAAAGAGATCCGAGCTCTAACCACCAGGTTAGTCACGTGAGCAGAAAGCAACTCAGCAGATTCCAGAACCACCCTCCTTGGCCTTGACATTTCTCCTCAAATCCTTGGGTGTCCAGGTAAAAATTGGGTTCGCCCCAGGCTTGAACTGGGGTGCCCCACGATATTTTGATTTTAGTTGGACAACCAGGCAAGTGTTGATCCAACATCCCCATCTCTGCATCTTTTCACAACCACACGACCTAGAATCGATGCTTTCACTCAAGACCTCCTGTCCGTTCGGGCAACTTTTGGACCATCCCTGGTCATTCCCCCCCAGTGAAAACTGGACCAACAAATCTTGCAGCCACTCATCATCAATCTTCCGCGTCCACTTGAGGTTCTGTGCTGAAACCTTATCAAACCCTCCAAAACACACCCTCCACCCATCCCCTCATGTGGCCCCCACTCACAGATGTTTTCCCTCCTCCTGTCACTTCTCTTGCGAGCGACAGCGGTGAGATCGACTGCGTGCCGCAGGACACGTTGAGGAGCTCACTCGCGCGCTGCCCACGAGGGACCACCGCCACCGCCTGGCGGGTCTAAACACACGCTTCTGAGCGACCAGGTCCGACGTTATTCTACAGGGGTTGCTGATGTATGGTGACGATTCCACCGACAGCACCGAAAAGAGGTTGCGATTAGGAGGTGTCCATTCACCACTTCGTAAACGGGGCTCTGAGAGATGCGAAAAATGATGTGTAGAAGACCATGTCACTGCATCTCACGGCTTGTGGCAGTTCAAAGCCTCACATGACCCTGCAGCATGCACTTCGAACAGGGAAAGGCTATGTACGTACATCTAGACATACGGTTGCCGGTATGGCCAAAGGACATTCTCGTGGCCGTAGCCATCCTCTTTCTTCAAACCGAAAGACCAAACTACCCCGACGACTTCGGCCTTCGAGTCCGCCCCCTAAACCCTGTTCGACTTTGTCCTGATCATGGTTCCGACAAGAAAGCCCATCCGCCTTCTTTAGCACCGCCTCGTGATTGGTGTTGATGGCTTTCATGACCACCGTGGAGCCTGGCCACCGCCATTGGCTGTGCAAAAACCATCCGAGGCGCCCGAGGCTGATGATTTCACAGGCTTCACTCTTTGCCGTTCCCAAAGCACAAGACTTGGGCCCGTCTCCATCTGGCCGCGAAGAGTGTTGAGTGTGGGGGCAAGGCCAGCCAATGCAGTCAATCATACACGATATGGACTACGATATGGTAGGATTAGTAGGTGATATTAGGAATGCATTAGGGATATGATATGCAGTAGGGGATATATAGATAATGGTAGGTGCATCTTTCATATTTCCCTCAAAAGCGCCCTATTAGACGCCGCAGTAGGCGCCATCTCGCCCAGTCGTGCGAACACTCGAGCTACCGAACTGACGCATGGACTTATAGCCCCGCGTGTCGCGAATTGTTTGGGATTTTTTTTGTTTTGGTTGTTTGTGCGTTTTGCACAGCGACATGTCAAGTTTCACCCCTCCAAATTCTGCCGCAAACATACAGAAACATCATGAAAAGAAGCCAGTTACGCCTTCCATGATGATCCGCATCAACATCTTGGCGATCAAACTCATGGACCAACCTTGGCGTCCGTCGATTCCAAACCGGACACTGGACCCTGCCAGCGATGCCTCGAAGCAAAATATCTGCTTCCCACGCAACTGAAGGATGCGGAACTGATGGACTTAGGATGACTTAGTGACCCTAGTCATAGGCATACATAGGCTTCTTAGGATGACTTAGGGTATGTTTCACACGAAGCCTTTTCAAGAGCCTCAGACGAAGGAGCTACTACTTGGCAATCTCAGTAGACGGACGCATCGCCGTGGCTCGGCCACGCATGTGGCCACCAATTGAAATCGCGATTGGCTCGCCCCATTAGAGGCCGAAAGCAGCCACCGCCTGACGAGCCTGTGTCAAGGGTATGTAGAGTATGTAAACCAATCTACACTCCCTGAATCTAACAATGGATCTACACTCCCTGATCTACAAATAACGTATTTTCTACCAGCACCCTCCAACAGGTCTCTTCTGGTAACTTTTGGAGACTTAAAAGTGTCAGGTGGTGACCTGTAGAGTCTGGTGCTGGTACAATTTCTGAATGCTTCCAGATTTGGATCCCAATAGCAGCGATCCGCCTCCCATCCATCCAGGTCTGCCTCCCGCGCACGTCCAAGGTGCGGTAAGACTGGACCAAGAGTTCATGCTTCTCTGCGGACAAACTCACCTCCTGGATAGCCTCAGGCAGGGAGCATGTGGGAGCATGAGACTCTGGTTGTTTCAAGACCGCAGCTTTTCCAATATTTCGTCGATCGAATGGGAATCTCGCCGATCGCAAGTTACATCTTGAATCTTGATGTTGCCATACAACCGCCCGCCGGCAGATCGCAATCAGGGAAGGTTGGAGGATACGCTTTGTTCGTCCTTTTCTCACATTCGGGTGGAACACCCAGCATTCAGAGCGTTCAGAGATCGAACAGAATCCCTGTCAGCCGCAGGCACCGCAGGCACCGCAGGCACCGGGGAGTGAAAGCCAATGAGTCAGTTGAACCCCACCAAACTCAACCCACTCCAGTACCTTAGAATACCTCACGACACGACCTGTCTGGAACTGGAATAGATGCCGCCCCTGGTCGATGCCGACAAACTCACCACCCCAGCGGGCCGTTTCTCGGCAAATCATGGCAGTCCCATGAATTCTCTGGATTCGAGTACCTGGCTCCTCCTCCCGCATACCCCGCCGCTCAGCCGCTCAACCGGTCCCAACCGTCTCGTCTCGTGTCCCAAACGCCGACGTGCCGAAGCGGTGTCCGGCGTCCCGCGAACGCGCCGCCTCCACGTGGGCGGTGACGAAGGGCGTCAACAAGTCCGTCGAGATCCCGTAACCCACGTGGCGTAACCCCAAGGCGGAGATCTCATCAACCATGGCCTGGGCCGTCACCAGAAGGGCCGCCAGGGTCACGAAGACTGTGGATGAACGGTGCGGACACCGACCGTGCCAAAGGAGGAGGATCCTTGCATATCCGGATCATGGGTGCAGCAAAAGGAGCATGCGGTGTTCATTTGAGATGGAGAATTCGTCATTCCAAAAAGGGCAGGTGGTTTGAGGTGTCCGGCTGGTCTCCTTGATCTTTGAGGTCTTAACTTCAATCAACATGCAAAACAGCAAACACGGCCTTTGGAGGAATCAGGCAACATGCCATGCGTTACCTATATGACACACAAACCTACACAACTTGTCAACTTGTGGCTTCAAATCACATTTCCAAACCTGAATAAATCAATAGATGGTGAAAACATAGCTATAAGTTGCAGGTTTACCGCGCAACTCAAGCCATGTAGACCAACAATTTACCCACCGGTGACCCCTTGAAAAGGCTGAATCTACAGCTCTTGCCCAAAAAAGGCTGAATCTACTGCTCTTGCCCAAGCAAGACTGCTGCTGGCTACGCCCAATTTCAGGTGCCCCCACAACAACAGTGCTTCAGTCCTCAAACCTGTCCGACCCCGCCGGGTACCCGGTACCCGCCGGGTACGCCTGGTCGCTTCGGTCCAAGGGGCGATGGGATCGGCGTACAACTCCACGTTCATCGCCTCGGCTCGTCGGGTCGAATCCGGCGGACCCTCCCTGGTGGCCAGGGTGATTTCAAAAACGTTTCGATGTTTGTGTCTTTTTGGGATGTGTGTTGCCTTTTAAGGTAGACACCCTGCTCCAAATCACATGGATTCAAAGGTTATCTCTGAAGCTTTCGAGATACCCTCAAAACAGCATGCCTATTACTATCTACTACATATGATCCTGTGCGTTTGTCTTCGGTTCCTGTTATGGTTCTGAAGTGACATCCACCAAAGCGAAGGACTTAAGAAATTGTAAGAGTTTGAAAGAAGACACCCAGGTATCAAAACAACAGCTTCCAGAGCAAAAGCTGTCTGGACCAAACATGCTTTGCAGAAAAGAATCACAAAGACAGTGATAATCCCATCTCGCAGAAAACGATCTAACTCATGCAGGGTTTCACAGTGTGGTTATAGCTCAAAAGACTGTCACCTCCCCCATCATTGCGCCCAAACCTAAATCTCCGAAAAAAAACAAAAAAAAATATATATATATATATAGTAACTATAGATATTATATATACCCTAGTGCTCCAGAGCATCTCTGAGAAGGTATCCGGAAATTCATCTTCTGAGGATGGGCTCGAACTGAAAGTTGCCTGAGGTTGTGTCTGGCCCCCGGGCGCGTGCTCAGCAACTTCTGGCTCACATGCCCTTTTTTCACAAGCCTCAAGGTCTGGTATCCTATATATAAGCTTAGCCACCAAACGCCAACAGTCTCATGTGGACCACATGGACTTACAAACGTACATGTTCTATCCACCAGACCTTCGAATCGATGAGCCATGGGCCTTCCATGGAAGGGATGCGGCACTACGTGGTGCGCCCTGGAGTGTTCACCGACGTTCATGGGAGTTCTGAAATCATGGCCTCTGTAGCATGAGATACATGGATGGTTCAGGGGGTGAGATGGTTGTAGCATAAGATATTAGTACATGGATGGTTCAGGGGGTGAGATGGTTGGACCTTTGACGTTGTCGTCCGCCCGTAGCTGCCGCGACTTGCTCACGAGCTCACTCCTGGCGCCCGTGCGAGTGCGAACGCAATGGCGTTGATCGCTACCCCTCTCGTGGCATGGCTGTGGATCGCCCCCTCAAGTTCCGACTCAGCGTTACTCGGGGTGAATTATGTTAACGTTCATTGTTCACAGTACATGCATTGATTGGAGACATTGGAGGTTATGGATACGATATCGATGAACAATGATCGATTAAGGCTTGTGGCTTGGCCATCTACAATGGCATCAAGAACTACTTCGAGGAGAACCAGCCCCAAGTCTTGAGTAGAGAAGAATCTTGGACGCATATGCAGTGCAAACGTGTACATGATTGATTTGAATCAGGTGCAATTAGATCTAGAGATTTTCTCTAGCTACTTTGGTGGCCTAAGGAGAAGTGGATCATCGAGTGGCACCGAGAGGATGGTGAAAGCCATGTGTCTGGGTTGAATTGGGCAAGTGTCCAGACCCAACCTCACACAACGTTCCGCACGGGATCCCGCCCCTGAAGGACTTTGAGGTTTCTTGGCTCTGAATCGATATCGATCGTTTCGATGGTGAAATCTGCGCGTGCATGATCTGCTGGAGCATTGGGGTTTGTTGCATATACCTAGGCCGCCTTTGTGTACACCACTGCGGCACACAACTTGCATGTGGAGCTCCACCAAGTCCGAGGGGGCAAGAGGAGGATGAGAGATCTTTGGCCTAATTCATCCCTCTTCTAAAGACACGTTAACCGTTAACGAAACCGATCTAGAAGCATGGTCTTCGCTATATATCTCCGGGTGTTTGATTTGGTGCGTACCAGTGTTCACATCACTTTGAGGCATGACTTCGTGGACATGATCAGGTGGGTCCATAAAAAAACAAAACACACCATCTGCTCAGGGTACCCTTTCACAGGGAGGCCACTCGACTTCGCGCAGCGCTCCAGCACCTTCACCGCCTGACGGCAAAGACGAGTGTGTCGAGGAGCTCCGGTCTGATCTGAAGTACTAGTTTCCGTCGTTGCTCTGCGCAGGAACCCTATGGTGAAGGTGCTCAAGAAGCTCTATGTCCACTTCCGAAGCAAGGGTTCTGTAATTGTCTCAGCTATATGTGGACTCCAAAATCACGCATATACGTATACAGTTTAAACTGAATTTGTGAGGACGTGGGTGATCTTGGCCATGATGCTTTGGAGGACGGATTGATCGTCTGACATGGCCTGTTACTGAACCTTGTTTTGCAGGATATCGAAAATGATCAGGGTGAGGAGCTCGTGATAGAGAACATGGATGATGAGCCAATCATCATCAGCACCCAGGACTGGGTCATCATTGTTGCCTATATAGCCCATGACCAAACATGAGCCTTATCATCATCGATGGCAGGATCTTCCTTCTCCTGGAGGGGGCATGGCCATGAAGGCCATTCGTGATTGCACTGGGCTCAACATGTGTGAGTTGGTGTACTGTGCAGGTGGAAGATGCGGAGGTCCTGTCCACCCGTTCAACCCTAGCTAGCTACTCAACCCTCATGGTTGCTCGAATTTGGGAATCACCTGTCAGGCTATCGAGGACACCAAGGACAAGCCTGAAGTGGTCACTGAGGGGGCTCAGGTGCCTAACACGTAGCCGACATTGATCAGCATGCATGCAATATCGGGCGCATTTGTATTTATTTGGGACTTCACCTTTCAGGCCACGGAGGACATCGAGAGCAAGCCTGAAGTGGTCACTAAGAAAAGCTCAGGTGCCTAATTGACAAGCATGTTTTTAAATAGCGCGCATAAATGCATATTTAATATTAAGCCTGCGGGTGTAAAACCGAACGTGTGACTACTGCGATTTTTGAAGTAGATGCTACGTGAAAGGTGGGGGGGTTGGGGTGGGGTGGGATGGGGCATATTGACGTTCGTTTGCACTTCACGAAAAGTAATCTTCGGTTTCATAGCATTGTCATCGGTTTCATAACATTGTCATCGTTTTCATAACATTGTCATCGGTTTGGTTGTGATGGAATGAGGCTGTGGATGTGATGCTGAGAACATTGTCATCGATTTCACAATAAGTAATCTTCGGTTTCATAGCATTGTCATCGGTTTCACAACATTGTCATCGTTGTCATAACATTGTCATCGGTTTGCCAACATTGTCATCGGTTTCATAACATTGTCATCGATTAGTCGTGTGATTAAACTGGGGTGGGGGGCTTGTGATGGAATGAGGATGTGGATGCCATGCTGAGAACATTGTCATCGATTTCACAGTAAGTAATCTGCGGCTTCATAGCATTGTCATCGGTTTCATATGTCATAACATTGTCATCGTTTTCATAACATTGGCATCGGTTTGCCAACATTGTCAACGGTTTCATAACATTGTCATCGATTAGTCGTGTGATTAAAATGGGGTGGGGGGGGCGGGTTGTGATGGGTGAGGATGTGGATGTCATGCTGAGAACATTGTCATCGATTTCACGACAAGTAATCTTGAGTTTCATAGCATTGTCATCAGTTTCACAACATTATGGTCGGTTGCATAACATTGTCATCGTTTTCATAACATTGTGGATGGCAGCGGCGTTGGGAAACACCACGTGTACTAACTTGTGCAAAAAAACTGCGCAAGTCTACTTGAGACAGGACGCATGACAGTTGAGGACAGCCCGGGACAAAAACGGCGACGGATTTTGCGCTGGCGCTTGGGTTTCGGCAGATTCGGCTTTAAAAATGAAAGGATCCGGGGCCACCAAGAAACATCACCGAACAAGCAAAAAGTACTGAGAGGGTTTGCACTTAGAATCAAAATTTGCAAGACTACACGTGCGATTCCACACCCGGCGGGATGTTTAAGTTGGGGCTCACCTTTCAGGCCGCGGAGGAGATCGAGAGCAAGCCACCAGTGGCCATTGAGATGGCTCAGGTGCCTGAGGTGTATTGCACTGATTGATCGGCACTTTTTTTTTGGTGCTCTAAGAGGGGACGCACCTTTCAGGCTGCGGAGGACATCGAGAGAAAGCCTGAAGTGGCCATTGAGATGGCTCAGGTGCCCAGTGCATGCACATGGATCACGCAGGTCGATCTGCAGCATGAAACGTGATTGGTCTTCTTTCAGGCCGTGGAGGACACCGAGAGCAAGCCTGTAGTGGGCATCGAGATGGCTCAGGTGCCTAATTGTAGACGCAGATGTTGGGACACACCTTTCAGGCCGTGGAGGACATCAAGAGCAAGCCCCCAGTGGCCATTGAGATGGCCCAGGTGCCAAACGACTGTATATGTACATGCGCATGCACAAGTTGGGACTCACCTTGCAGGCTCTGGAACTCATCGAGGACAGCCAAATGCCTTTCGAGGATTAGAGCTGCCAACGTGTTCCTTTGTTTGCCGGCTCACCTTTCAGGCTGTGGAGAGGGATGTGGTCCTGGTGGAGGAGAGCCAGCACATTGATCCAGCTCAGGCACCAACACGTGGCCAATCTCGATGGCTTGTTCCGCGTAGTTTTTTGTTTTCGACAGTTCTTGGTGCACTGGCTGAACCTCCTTCAATATTTGGAGGTTGTGGGGACCCAGGCTGTGGAGGAGTGCCAGGCCTGTGCCGGAGACGTTGCGCGTCAAGCTTTGTGTTTTTGATGCGCTGCATGTGTGAGGGTGGCCCCACAATGGTTAGCCATCCTGATCTAGCTGAGGCCATATAGCTAACTGTTCAACATGTGGGCCCCTCATGCGCACATCTTTGCTGGCCAGACTTTGCCTATAAAGGTCGAAATTCCTGGCCTGGCTTCGTCATCGGTGGAGGACGTGGCGGCTTTGAAGGATTCGTTGTGCTTGACAGCACACTCCCCCTGACCCACTGCCCCCGCCGCACACCCACAGCTTGCCTCCTGAGGAATGAACTTCCCCGGTGGCACTCCATGGGCGAAGCCAATGGTCCCTACCTCTACCTCTCTCCAAGCTGCAGGCAGAGCGAATGGCCCGTTGCATGAAGGGGATTGGGTGGAAGAAAAACCAACAACATTTGTTGGCATGTCTTTGGACCTGTGAGGTTCAATACGTACCAGGACTTTTGGTGATTATAACACTTTAAACTGCTAGCTGCGCTAGCAGGGATCTGTACTCATGTGGTGTCGAGCTGGCCGAAATGGCCGTCAAGGCCAAAGTTTCACGTGCCTAAGCACAATTGGCGGTACTGGTATAGGATACCCTGAAGGTGGATATGAACCGGTTATTCTTTCCTCAAAACAGCAACCTCTCAGCCTTGGCAAGAGATCTGTCAGGCTCAGATCGATGACCGTGCTTTGGTGCAAACAGTTGCCCTAGGCCTCCAAGTGCCTCCTCAACTCGCTAGCGTATATTTTTACCCTTCAAACACCCCAAAAGATGTTGATCGATCTAGAGGGCACTTGGAGCCCTATGGTCTAGAATTGTTTTGTGGGTATGTAATGTGGTAGCACTGTGTTGATCGACTATGACCCACAAAGTTCGGACCAAACTGTTCATCGGACCAGTGCTGTTGATCAGCTGAGTCATCAACCACCGGTTCGCCGCTGGGTGGCACGTGGAGGACTTCGTCGGCCGGTTGGTGACGTCTCTTTGCACTACTCAATCTAAAGGTGTCGAACGGGGTGGTCTGCAAGCCTGGTACACGGGGCTTCTTGGCTTGTGATAGGTACTACTACTACCACTAACTACTATACTACGTACTACTACAACTCTACTACGACGATGGCCCAGACGGCGACGACGACTACTACTACCCCCATTCGCTAGGGCTTCAAGTACCTCCTCAGAAGGTATTAAAATGACCCTCCAAACTTCAAACCCACCTCAATCACCTTCTTAAGGTACATGGAGCCCTAGAACTACTACGCTATTGTTTTCATCACCTTGGGGGCTGAAGTGCCTTCTCTTTTATATATATATATATATATATAGACCCTTTAAGCCCATCCCAGACTCGACACTAAACATCCATGAACATAAATTTGTAGTCAGCTGTGCTGACACATCTCAGGTTGTGTGCTGCTGGGAGCTTGCAGACCTTCAATGAGACCTCCCATGCCAACTGAGCTGCCGCGCTTGGTGGCGAGCTCGTCGTTGGCATGAGCACGTGGTGAGCAAGTGAAAACGGCGGGCTGCTGGAGGGTGGCAGGAACAAGAATTGGTGGCACAACATCCCTTGGTGAGGGAACACCGCATTCGAGATGGCAACCATAGATGATTTTGGGGAAAGATTGTGGTTCAAAACCCCTTGGTGAGGGAACATGTCCGGAAGATTAGTCAAAAAAATTTTACCATTGATGTGTTTTTGGGAAAACCATGTACGCGTTAAATTCCTACTTTTGCTGAGGTTGGGTCCGGAGCCAAAACCTGCTCAGACACGCCTCAGACCCCAAACACCTTCTAAGAAGGTATCCGGGAGCCCTTGGGATAGTAAAAAGAAACACAAACACATATTATATATATATATATATACATATAGCCGCTGGGTTCAAAGACCCTGACGCTGGGGCCTGCGGTGGTCCAGGGCCGATTGGGTGCGCGATCACCGGTCGGTGTCAATAAGGGGAAGCCCGTGCTTCCTTCCCCACGGCACTTTGACCTGGTGTGTCTGCGCCCCGCCTGTCGTGTTTTTGCCATGGATGTTGACACTGTGTTAGGTCTGGCTGACCAGGTTTTGGCTGGATCAACGAGGACACGCTTCAGATCCATGCTGCTGGATCTCTCGGGAACAACCTTCCCTTTGATGATCCTTGGCCGTGCCTTCATTGCTGGAGAAACGATTAGCAGATGCGGTGACCGGGTTGAGCTGAAACCGATGGCTTTCTCCCCTGGCAGAGGTTTTCACTTTTCGGATGAGGTTCCGGAGTTGGTTCACATCAACATGCCTGAGCTGGATACTAGATCCATTTCTGTGTGCCCTGGAGCCCAGATCATTTGCAGTGGACATGTGGTGCCATCATCAAAGCTGCATGTGTTCGATTTTGCCAAATCGGCCTCCATCCACTTCCGCCCTGAGCTTGACTGCACCTTCGGGTGGGATTGCACGCACCTTTTTTGCGGTGCGTTTTGTGGCTGGAATCAGGCCGCTGAATGGCTCCCGAATGCCGGCTTTGGATTTGCAGTAGGCCGACAGGTCTTTGTAGACATTGATGAAACTGTCCTGCAACTGTGTAGCACCAAGCACAAGATGGAGATGCTTCGATGCCCCCTCAAACCGAGTCAGCCGTGGAATCCAGCGAGCAAGATTGCACTCCTGGGCGATGTGGGTGACCCCACCATCCCATTCGCCCATAGATGCCAGGTGAACCTGATGTGCACGCTCTCGCCCCCATGTCAATCATGGTCGAAAGGAGGCAA